GTCCGCTAAGGTAACGATTCGTGTCTGTCCCTGAGTAAACAATTCGTGTCCTAATACCTTGTTCTGTGGCCCTCAGTAACATTTTCTGTGGCCCTCAGTAACAAATCTGTGTCCCGCAGTAACAATTTGCTGTGTCTGCCCCTGAGTAACAATTCTGTGTCCCTAATAACGTTTTCGTGTGGCCCTAAGTAAGGTTCTGTGGCCCTCAGGTAACGATTCTGTGGCCCTCAGTAACAATTCTGTGTCCCCTCAGTAACAATTCTGTGGTCCCTAAGTAACATTTCTGTGTGCCCTAAGTAAAAATTCTGTCGGCCCTAAGTAACAATTCTGTGTTCCATCAGTAACAATTCTGTGTCCCCCCCCTGTGGCCCTAAGTAACATTTCTGTGGCCCTAAGTAAGTTTCTGTGATCCCTAAGTAACAACAGTCTTCTGTGGCCCTAAAGGTAACGATTCTGTGCGTCTGTCCCTATGTAAGTTTCGACCCTCAGTAACAAATCTGTGTCAGGCCCCTCCAGTAACTAATTCTGTGTCTCCCTAAGTAACAATTTTCTGTGTGCCCTAAAGTAAACATTTCTGTTGGCCCTAAGTAAACGTTTCTGTGTCCCTAATTAACGATTTCTGTGTCCCTCAGTAAAAACAATTCTGTCTATTTGTCCCTCAGTAACATTCTCTGTGTCCCTGAGTAACGTTTACTGTGTCCCTAAGTAACGTTTCTGTGGCCCATAAGTAACAACGGTTTTTCTGTGGCCCTCAGTAACAATTCTGTGTGTCGGTCCCTCAGTAACAATTCTGTTGTATTAAAGTTTCTTTGCCCTAAGTAACAATTCTGTGGCCCCTAAGTAACGATTCTGTGGCCCTATAAGTAATGTTTCGTGTCTGTGGCCTAAGTAACGTTTCTGTGGCCCTAAAGTAACAAATTTCTGTGGTCCCTCAGTAACAATTCTGTGTCCCTCAGTAACAATTCTGTGTCTGTCCCTAAGTAACAATTCTGTGGCCCTAAGTAACATATCTGTGGCCCTAGAAGTAACGTTTCTGTGGCCTAAGTAACGTTTCTGTGTCCCTCAGTAACAATTCTGTATCCCTCAGTAACAATTCTGTGTCTGTCCCTGAGTAACAAATTCTGTGTCCGCTAAGTAAAGGGGGGGGCGTTTCTGTGGCCCCTAAGTAACGTTTTCTGTTGCCCTGAAGTAACAAATTCTGTGTCCCTCAGTAACGTATTCTGTGTCCCTGTAAGTAACAATTCTGTCTGTGGCCCTCAGTAAAGTTTCTGTGTCCCTCAGTAACAATTCTGTGTCTGTGCCCTAAGTACAATTCTGGGCCTAAGTAACGTTTCCTGTGGCCCTAAGTAACGTTTTCTGTGGCCCTAAGTAACTGTGTTCTGGTCCCTCAGTAACAATTCTGTGTCTCTGTCTCCTAGTAACAATTCTGTCTAAGTAAACTGTGTCTGTCCCTGAGTAACGGTTTTCTGTGTGTCCCTCAGTAAAATTCTGTAACCCTCCAGTAACAATTCTGTGTCTGTCCTGGAGTAAAAAATTCTGTTCTGTTCCTAAGTAACGTTTTCTGTGGCCCTAAAGTAACGTGTTTCTGTGGCCCTAAGTAAAGTTTCTGTGGCCCTAAGTAACGATTCTGTGGCCCTAAGTAACAATTTCTGTGGCCCTGAGTAGTAACAAATCTGTGTCCCTCAGTAACAATTCTGTGTCTGTCCCCTAAGTAACAATTCTGTGGCCCTAAGTAATCGTTTCTGTGGCCTAAGTAACGGTTTCTGTGTCCTCAGTAACAATTCTGTGTCCCTCAGTAACTAATTCTGTGTCTGTTCCTAAGTAACAATTCTGTGGCCCTTAAGTAAACGTTTCTGTGGCCCTAAGTAACGTTCTCGTGGCCCTCAGATAACGAATTCTGGTCCCTCAATAACAATTCTGTGTCTAGCGCTCGCTAAGTAGACAATTCTGTGGCCCTCAGTATAGGCACCAAGTAAACTTGTGTCAGGGGTGTCCCTGAGTAATGTGTTTCTGTGTCCCTAAGTAACGTTTCTGTGGCCCGCAAAGTGAAACAATTTCTGATTGGCCCCAGTAACAATTCTGTGTCTGTCCCTAGAAGTAACAATTCTGTGGCCCTAAGTAACAATTTTCTGTGGCCCTAAGTAACGTTTCTGTGGCCCTACTGTAACTTGATTTCTGTGGCCCTTGAAGTAACTGATTCTGTGGCCCTAATGTAACGTTTTCTGTGGCCATCTGTAACAATGCTGTGGCCCCTAACTAAGTAACGTTCTGTGTCTGCCCTCAGTAACAAATGCCTGTGGTCCCTCAGTAACAATTATGTGTCTGCCCTAAGTAAATTCTGTGGCCCTAAGTAACGGTTTCTGTGGCCCTCAGTAACAATTCTGTATCCCTCAGTAATAACAATTCTGTGTCTGTCCCTATTGTGTAACAATTCTGTGGCCCTAAGTAACGTTTCTGTGGCCCTAAGTAACAATTCTGTGTCCCTAAGTAACGTTTCTGTGGCCCTAACTAACGATTCTGTGGCCCTAAGTAACGTTTCTGTGGCCCTAAGTGACGGATTCTGTGGCCCTCAGTAAAACAAATCTGTGTCCCTCAGTAACATATTCTGAGTGTCTGTCCCCTAAGTAACAATTCTGTGGCCCTAAGTAACGATTCTGTGGCCCTAAGTAATGTTTCTGTGTCCCTAAGTAACGTTTCTGTGGCCCTAACTCTCTCCCTGAATACAGAGCGGTCTGCCTCTGTTGAATGACTGGAGGCAAATGGAGAATTCTAAAATGGCCGCCATTTATATAGCTCGACCATTACACAGTGCTGGCTGGCCTTTTGGCTAAGATCAAGTGTAGTATCTGTTCTTATCAGTGTCCAGTGGTAGGTGCTCCCGACCACTCTGTCTTGTGGGGTTGGTTGGATAGTACCCTCACATGGTATGATGGGGGTCCGGAAGGCTGGACCGGAGGGACAGAACCGGGGGAGCGCCATGATTCGTTCTGGGCCTCGGGAGTTAATTCCTCTGGGAAGGCTGGAAAGACCAGTACCTCCTGATTTGAGCAAGCTACCTTGGTCTGGCCAGGGGCTGGGGACGCAAAAAGTCCGCAAAACCTCAGTGCCCCCTGGGGAGACGCGCTCAGGGGTGTCACTAGTCATCAGTAAACACCTGGGTGTGGGACCCCACGTTTGAAAAATGACACTTGGCCACTGTTTTTACACATCTTTTTGCACAGCGCCCTAAGGACCAGGCCTTTTGGCCAAGTCCAGGGCAATTTTTGCTACGGGCCTCAGGGCCTGGTCTGTGCACAATTCGGCACGGAACCACTTTTTTATTTTTTCTTTCTCTTTATTTATTATGCACTTACCCACGTTTGTCACTTTTTGCTTTACTTATGTGTGTGTTTTTTTCACGGATGGAGGGTGTGGGTCCTGCCACAGGGGCCTACCCTGAAGTCTAGGGAGGATGTGTGGCCATACGGTTCCTTCCTCCCCTGATCCCTAGGGGACTCTTCTTTGGGAGAGTCCCCTTGCCTAGTACTGGATGTCCGGCTTCGGCTGGGCATAGGGAACGGGATGGTCCACCAGCCTTTTGGCCAGGAGGACCAATTGGGAACCTTGTCCCCGTCAGGAGCTTCATGCCCCCGGGGGATCAGGGTAAAGCGGTCCAAGCCCCTTTAGGGGTAGGAACAGCACACCCCTAAGTGCACTTTTTTCCGTGTGGTGTTTTGCACTTGCACTTTTTTTGTGAACACTTACGGGTTTTTTTCGTTATAGTTGCACGTTTGCGGACTTAAAAAAAAAAAAAAAAAAAAAAATTACACTGTGCTGGCTGGCTGGCTGCTGATAGCCTAATGCGATCACATGTCATGAATGAATGCATTATGGGTCAGCGCGCCTTGTCTGCGCGCCTTCCCAGACATCCCCGCTCCGTCGCCGCACATGTCGCCGCCATTTTAGGAAAAAAATTTCGATTCGCGCATCCGAAGTCTGCTTATTTTCGGATTCGACGCGAATCGAAATTTTCCTAATATTCGACTCGAATTCCACTTCGCCTACTTCGATTCGCTCATCTCTAGTTAGGACACCAGCAGCCCTAGCAACCAATGATGGTACACTGACAGCGTAGCCAAGGGAACCTGCACTGGAGACCGGGAAGGGCGGATGTTGAGGAAAATGGGAAACTGTAGGCCACTAATCCTAGCTTTGGTCTGGATAAAATCTTGCAGTGGGCCATAGTTTGGAGACTTCTGGTATACAAGGAAGCCAACTCTAACCTGACATTCTGTGTATTTCAGCGTATTTTTCCAGCGACATTCAGAGGATTTTGGGATTTTTTGGGGAGAGTGACAGAAGATCTGCAGAAAAATGAAAAGTAAGTTTATCCTAAATGCCGCACCTATGTAATTCCAAAGAAAGATAAAAACATCAAAAATGTATTTTATAGTTATAATTGTACATTTTACATCACAGAAAAGAACCAGAAAACATTTCCTAAAATATTTAACTCCAAATGATATGGTGAACCCTATTCCAGGTTTTATACTTTATTTTATAGAAAATACTGTATGTATCAAAAACAAGATACTTTTATCGGGATACATTCCACCCTGTATGGTGACGCAGAGCATGAATACACTGCAATACCGCATTCATGCCGCCTCAACCTCCGCAACATCTCCAGAATACGCCCCTTATTAACCAATGATAATACAAAGCTCCGAATTCACTCCCTGGTCATCTCTCGCCTCGACTACTGCGACTCCCTCCTCATTGGCTTACATTTAGATAGGCTATCCCCCCTCCAGTCCATCATGAATGCTGATGCCAGGTCCATCCATCTTACCAACCGTTCAGTGTCTGCCACCCCTCTCTGCCAATCCCTCCACTGACCTCCACTCAGTGTCCTCCACCCCTCTCTGCCAATCCCTCCCACTGACCTCCATTCAGTGTCCTCCACCCCTCTCTGCCAATCCCTCCACTGACCTCCATTCAGTGTCCTCCACCCCTCTCTGCCAATCCCTCCACTCAGTGTCCTCCACCCCTCTCTGCCAATCCCTCCACTGACCTCCACTCAGTGCCCTCCACCCCTCTCTGCCAATCTCTCCACTGACCTCCACTCAGTGTCCTCCACCCCTCTCTGCCAATCCCTCCACTGACCTCCATTCAGTGTCCTCCACCCCTCTCTGTCAATCCCTCCACTGGCCGCCACTCAGTGCCCTGTATGCCTCTGCCAATCCCTCCACTGACCTCCATTCAGTGTCCTCCATCCCTCTCTGCCAATCCCTCCACTGACCTCCATTCAGTGTCCCTCCATCCCTCTCTGCCAATTCCTCCACTGACATCCACTCAGTGTCCTCCACCCCCTCTGCCAATCTCTCCACTGACCTCCATTCAGTGTTCTCCACCCCTCTCTGCCAATCCCTCCACTGATGACCTCCACTAAGTGTCCTGTACGCCTCTGCCAATCCCTCCACTGGCCTCCACTCAGTGTCCTCCATGCCTCTCTGCCAATCCTTCCACTGGCCTCCATTCAGTGTCCTCAACCCCTCTCTGCCAATCCCTCCACTGACCTCCATTCAGTGTCCTCTACCCCTCTCTGCCAATCCCTCCACTGACCTCCACTCAGTGTCCTCCACCTCTCTCTTCCAATCTCTCCACTGACCTCCATTCAGTGTCATCCACCCCTCTCTGCAAAGCCCTCCACTGGCTGCCACTCAGTGTCCTCTATACCTCTGCCAATCCCTCCACTGACCTCCACTCAGTGTCCTCCACCCCTCTCTGCCAATCCCTCCACTGACCTCCATTCAGTGTCCTCCACCCCTCTCTGCCAATCCCTCCACTGGCTGCCACTCAGTGTCCTGTATGTCTCTGCCAATCCCTCCACTGACCTCCATTCAGTGTCCTCCACCCCTCTCTGCCAATCCCTCCACTGACCTCCATTCAGTGTCCTCCACCCCTCTCTGCCAATCCCTCCACTGACCTCCACTCAGTGTCCTCCACCCCTCTCTGCCAACCCCTCCACTGGCCTCCACTCAGTGTCCTCCACCCCTCTCTGCCAACCCCACCACTGGCTTCCATTCACCTAGAAAATAACATTCAAAAAACTAACCACAACTTACAAAGCCATCCACAACTCTGCCCCCAGCTACATCACCAATCAGGTCTCAAAATATCAACCAAACCGCTCTCTTTGATCCTCCCAAGACCTTCTGCTCTCTAGTTCCAGTGTCACCTCTTCTCATGCTTGCCTGCAGGACTTCTCCCGAGCTTCTCCCACCCTATGGAACTCCCTACCCCAATCTGTCCAACTATCTCCTAATCTATCCACCTGTAGACAATCCCTGAAAACTTTTCTCTTTAAAGAAGCCTATCCTTCTTCTAACTAGTAAATTGCCATTTATTTCCTCCATCAGCTCCTCCCCCCACAGCTATTACCTTTTGTATCACTCAACCCTTCCTCCTAGATGGTAAGCTCTTAGGAGCCGGGCCCCCAGTTTCCTCTTGTACCAAATTGCATTGGAACTGTTATGTCTGCGCCATATATATCCTGTATAATAATAATTACAATACAGTTCCAATTGTACAATAAATACCTTCACCCTGTGGTGTGATGCCTAATGTGTTGTGCGGGGCAGAGTTCCCCGAACCATCACATCATGCATTACACCCCTTACTCTGAAAGCAGTGTGTGGCCCTTAAGGTACCACCAAAGTACCAAGTGGCACCATGTCAGACATGCAGTGCCTGAGTTAGACCCCTGCCCCAAACGTCCTACATGGCCCAGCAACTACAACAAAGCATGCAACATTTCAAAAACAATTCAATAAGCAACGGGTGTGATGGGGGATAGAGAAGAGCGATAAGGGTGGAGGAAAAGCGTTCCACTGGCCCAAAGCTTTATTAAAAGGACAAAGACACACAAGGGAGAGTGGGGGAAGGGGAAGTCTTCAGACCTCTGCAACCCATTGAAATGTTATTACTTGTTATACATAAAATGGGAATGAGATGGTGGTGGATTGCTCTTCAGGGTTACTCACATGTACAGAACAGCCCTCTGGAACTTGTATTTCTGAGCAGCAGGACTTGGCAGATAAGCAGAGTGTCGGGGACTATATTTCCCAGGAGCAGTAGCGTATGGACAGGGGCATATATATATCAAAGCCCGGGAGTTTAGGAAGAGGAGTGCGGAGGGGGATTGAAAGCAATACTAAAGGTTCATTTTTTTTTGTAAAATAACAAACATGTCTATACTTACCTGCTGTGTGAAGTGGTTTTGCACAGAGGAGCCCCGATCCTCCTCTTCTCGGGTCTCCCGCAAGGCCCCTCCTTTCTGTCAGGTGCCCCCATAGCAAGCAGCTTGCTATGGGGGCATCCACTGCTCCTTGTGTCCATTCACACATGGAGCTGTGGCTTGGCCCCTCCCCCTCTCTCTTCTCATTGGCTGGCTGTGATTGACAGCAGCGAGAGCCAGTGGCTCCTGCTTGCTCTCTCAGGCAATGAGGCAGAGACCCAGGACAGCTGAGGCTCTCATGCACATCGCTGGATCTCGATGGGGCGAAAGTAAGCATAGAGGGGGCTGGGGGTGGGGGTGCTGCACACAGAAGGTTTTTTACCTTCATGCATAGAATTCACGAAGGTAAAAAACCTTCAGCCTTTACAATAGCTTGAAAGAGAAGGAGGTCTGCTGTTGGCTGAAGTGCTGAACTAGGAGCCAGAATTGGAGAGAGAGAGAGCAGAAAGAGCTTACTGACTGCCCGGCCTGCTACATTGCCAGGCAGGCCACTCTGATAGCGGGAGACAAAGCAGAACACCAAGCCTGAACCAGAGGACCCGTGGACTGTCTCTATCCATTGGGAGAGATGGATCGTGGCAATCCACCGAACCACATTGATCAGGCAAGAGAGACCCATGTAAGAGGGTATCATCTTCCATATACAAAGTTTGCTTCAACACCTAGAAGTGCTGCCTGATGACTGTCCAGTTGTCCAGTGTCTCCTCCATCCCCGGCTGACATCTCTCAGTCCACAGCCTCCTCCCATTGATGCTCCCTATACATATCCTCTAAGAGAGACCATACATCCACTCACAAAATGAACATTGATAGCTCGTCACCTCAGTTATCTGCTTGCACATAGTTTGTGAACATCACATCAAAGACAGTAATGCAGAGTGTGTGTGTGTGTGAAGGAAAGCCGAGGGCTGGGCCCACAGATTCAGAGGTACACGATGCCACACAGACACAGACAGCGGTTCTTTTAAAACAATTACATTTACTGAACAGTTATAGTGATCATGTAGTTGAGCATACGTAAACAGAATGATAACAGCGCATAACCATACAGTAAGGATAATACTGTCTAACACTGACCCCGTACTTGTGGACTTTCCCCCGATGTCCAGAAAGCAGCCTGGCTGCGCCTGAATGTTCCTGAGCAAGATATAACGTTGGGGGTGCACCCTAAGTATTGCGCAATACTATTTGTAATCCAAAGGAAAGTGGAGTACGTCTCGTGTAGCTTTCTGGTATATCCAAAATGTCACTGACCACGTGTGGTGCGATGTGCTGCGGCAAAGCCGCACTTATGTTCCCTGACAGGCTCTTGGTGCTTTCTTCTGACCCACTCCGGAACCGGACCATACAGTCACTTGTTTCCTGGTCTCGTTGTGAATCTCCCTTAGGTGCCCTCGCCAGTTTCCACTGTGAGCCGTAAATCCTCTTCCAGGCCCCACACAGATTCTCCAGATGTCCTCAGCATCCAACAGCCAGACCCAGACTCCACTTCCTCCTCAGCACAGGAACTCCTCCCCTTCCCATAGAGTTTGTGATGCAGTAAGTCATTTCTTAATTGCAGCCTCAAACCTGCATTTACAGTTCACTATGACCCTTCTGAGGGTCCTACTCAGCCCCTAAATTAGTATTCATTAAACTTTATAGGGTAAATAAGCATTTATCTTGTCTTAGCAAAAGTCACTACAAAATCGATTCTTGTACTTTGCTGCCATCTGCTGACCAAAGAACATATTGCAGTTTAACATTACACACCAGAATTAATCCATGCGTCACACCCTTACATGTGTGTGGGGGGGGGGGGGGGGTCGCAATCTCGTTCCCTGTGGGGGCTAAGCCTCTAACCCAATAGAAGCAAGCAGCTGAAGCCAAGCTGAATTGCGATCTTGCAAGGCCGAGCAGAGGGTACCCCACAAGGACCAAAAAGCTGGGATAGATACGATCTCAATGTCCAAGCTGGGCAGCAGGGACACCTCTAAAGGGCTAAAGTCCATACTTCACTTGAACTTAACCAAAAATCAGGGGGGGGGGATGTGGTGGGATGACCTTCACCTTGCAGCAATTATATCTCAATGCTGTAACTTCATGTAGCAGAGTGCTGGTTGCTTTATATCTTAAACAGCAGCTGCAAGGCATTTTTTTCTCTTTTTGTCTTTGTGAGAGACAGACAGGAAAAAAAAAACAGGACTGTGCTCTGATTGGTTGTTGCTACAGCTGATCCACCCATAGCAGCACTGCTGTAAATGAACTTATGATTACATTACATTACATTGAGTTTATATAGCGCCAAAGGGTTTGCTCAGCGCTGTACAATAGAGGGGGGGACAATACATGAAACATTACAGCAACAACAAACAGCACACGAGGGGTTATAGGGCCCTACTCTTTCGAGCTTACAGTCTAGGAGGGAGGGGGTAGAGGTACAGGAGGAAGTGGCTGTGGGGGATGGAGTGGTAGGAGGAATGAAGGAGAGCAGCAGTTAGGTGAGGGTGGGGTAGACTTCCCTGAAGAGGTGGGTTTTCAGGGAGCGCCTGAAGGTGAGGAGGGAAGGTGACAGTCTGATGGATTGGGGTAGTGAGTTCCAGAGGATGGGGGAGGACCTGGAGAAGTCTTGCAGACGTGCGTGTGAGGAGGAGACAGGGAGCAAGATAGAAGGAGGTCCTGTGAAGAGCGAAGGGTACGGGTAGGGTGGTACTTGGGAATCAGGTCGGTGAGGTAGTTAGGGGCAGTGTTGTGAATGGCTTTGTAGGTCAGAGTGAGTAGTTTGAATTTGATGCGTTGGGCGATAGGGAGCCAGTGGAGAGGGAGAGGCAGAGGGGGGTGGCAGAGGTGGAGCGGGGGGTGGTGAGGTGGATGAGTCTAGCCGCTGAGTTGAGGATGGTCTGAAGCGGGGAGAGCCTGCACTGGGGTAGGCCGGTGAGGAGGGAGTTGCAGTAGTCAAGGCGTGAGATAATCAGGGAGTGCACAAGTAGTTTAGTGGTGTCTGGGGTAAGGAAGGAGCGTATTTTGGCGATATTGCGGAGGTGGAGTCTGCATGTGTTTGTGAGTGATTTGACATGAGGTTGGAAGGAGAGGTTAGAGTCCAGAATGACTCCAAGGACTTTGGCTTGCGGGGCGGGATTGATGGTGGTGTTGTTGGTAGTGATGGATAGGATGGGGGGGGGGGGGGGGGCGCGGGGGCAGGAGGGAAAACGAGAAGCTCGGTTTTGGAGAGGTTGAGTTTGAGGAAATGGAGCGACATCCAGTCAGAGATGTCGTTTAGGAGGTGAGTGATGCGGGCGGAGAAAGTGGAGGTGAGGTGAGGGGTGGAGAGGTAAATTTGAGTGTCATCAGCATAGAGATGGTAGTTGAAGCCGTGGGAGTGTATGAGTTTGCCAAGGGAGGAGGTGTAGATGGAGAAGAGAAGGGGTCCAAGGACAGAGCCCTGGGGGACCCCAACAGAGAGGGGGAGTGAGGGGGAGGTGGCACCATTGTAGGTGACACTGAAGGAGCGTCGGGATAGGTACGAGGAGAACCAGGAGAGAGCGGTGTCTCTTGATGCCAAG